AAGTGTATTTGTCACATGCAAAAGAGATAATGTTGGTTCTTTGAAAATGCCAAATGGTATCACTCCTACCATTTAATTCAGAAACAAAATATAACTGTATAACTTAACTCGATAATAGTACGTTTTGGTTAACTAATACCGTTCATACTTATTTAGGCTACCTACGATACAAAACCAATGATAGATTTTAAGGTACAGTAAAAGAACGTGTTTAATGGTTTGCACTGTAAACAAATATAAATAAATATGGAAAATAGGGTAATTTTATACAACAATATTTTAGTGAAATTATAATCAGGAAAATGGAAATTCACTCAGTCCATAGACTTGCTGCGGCAGGGGGATTATATTGCTGTTTACACAGAAATAAATAAAAAAAATAAACCTCATAAAACTCAGGATAATAGGCCATGTATGATTATAGAATCTTACATGTCTTATCCAGGCCGGCAATGATTATAGAATCTTAATTATTTCTTATATCCATGAATGATTTATTTTACAACGAATTATTCCCTGTAAAATATAATTACAGCATTTCACAAATATTAGTACAAACTCAGAATAATAGATCATAAACATAAACAAATGAAATAACTGAAAGAATCATAAACTAAAGAAATTACATTAACATATGGTTTGACAGCTCCATTTAAGTAATGTTAAATAATGTTTACATTCGGGCTAGTGACATCATTATTTAAAATTTATTATCCTTACCCTCTCTGTTCTAATATTCGTGCAGTATTTAATATGTTTGAAGCAGCTGTGTGGAATTGTGAAATCAAAATTCATTTGACAGTTAGTTCTGCTTGTTTACATTTTTAAACTTTGCAGGTTTGTTTTTGTTACCATACCATAAATTTGTTGGATACCATAAATTAATATTTACTTTTAAATCTCTTACCTCAAATTTTTGAAAGCCCACGGGGCAGAGCCCTAGGACAATATCGAAGCGGGAATAGTTCTATATGTATCCTCGGAGCTGTAGCTTCATTTGTGTACAATTTGAGCCCAGTAGGTTCAGTAGTTTTTGAGATTAGCTCATACAAACACACAGACACCACCTCTTCTTTATAATAATATAGATAGAATTTTTAAAGCTAATAAATGACACCATTGTTATAATCCTGCAGATACAAATCACAAAACAGTTGAGTATCATCGGAAACCAAGTCTGTAACTCAAAAAGTTATTTTATTTTTTATTTACAGTATATTTCACTTGATACCCACTTAATTTAACCCCAGTAATAACATCGCAAAAATTAATACGCGTTTTAAGATTATAGCTAATTTTCGGCGAAATGCATTCGAAATGCGGTATCAATAAGGTAAAGTGATTACATAAAAAAAAAATACAAGAATATTTTGACTAATAATGAAACATTTAAAATTACCCACTTAACTATTCTTAACTTTTCCAACCTACTAAACCCCCATATATCCAAAGGCAGCAAATTTTAATACTCTTCGGCCATTGTCCCAAAGACTATATGGGTCTCCGATATAATGACGCCATCAATCGTCTCAGTGGATCCTATAAAGCAGAAAGGGTTTATCGTTGGTGATATTACACTACAGAGGTGTTAGCAGACAAGATAATGGAGGAAGATGATACATGACCGCGCAGCTTCCTATTTACATACAACGCCTGCCTTCGCATGTAGCCTGTAGCAGATGTTACCATTACACCATCTCTGGGGGTTTCTATGATGTTCTATGTTCTATGGAGTTGTGTTGTTGTGGTATGTGAAAAAACTACTTAATGATTTTCTATTGTTTTATGTTTTTAAAATGTCTTGTACGTTGCGTGGAATCCAACACAATACTTCTCAGGAATTATATTTATTTTCGTTTCGCTAACTAACAAACGATTTCACTAAAACGTTGGGGGTTGGTTCTTTTAACCTTACTTACGCAAATGTCGATTTTTAAACTTGATTTATTGTTTTAAGAGAACGATTTGTACGTTGTATATGCATTTTGGTCAAGTCTTTTGTCACTGGGGGACTAAGAATATGTAACACAGGTCAAGTGGTTAGAGAGTGGGACTTGTATCAAAGTTTAAATTTCTCATACCGACGACTTTTACCATATAATTAAAAGAGGAATTAATTAAATTTGAGAGTTTAACCGGTTATTCTTATAATAATTGTCAAGTAAAAAGGTTTCATATGCAAGGTGAAATGCTTCTGTATGTTAATTGGAAATCTGGTTCGGTAAACTACATTCTAAAAAAATTCTAATGATTTTATTCAAATAAAAATAAATGTAATACAGTCAAATAGTGTGCAATAGCCTAGTGACAAAGTAAATACTTGAATTATCAGCTCAGTAATATATCTTTAAATAAAATTGCTTATAGAAGTTTAAGCGTTTTACAATATGGGCCAGATACGACTAAAACACAAAAATAGAAGCTCGAGGGCCATAAAGAGGAAAGGAAATTGCTCCTTGACTGGGAAATGAGGACCTAATCCACGCCAAGACTAAGGACACTGTTGCAAAGACTTGGGATTTTAAACTAAACTTTTTGTTTTATTTTTAGTTTTTATGACAGGTCTCTCGAGGTGAAAGTGATTTAAACAACCAAGTAATCACAAGAGATCTCTAAACGTCCAGAAACATAAAGAAGGATTTTATAGCTTTTAGATCCTTGCTCGGGGTATATATTTTACCTCTAAACGGCTTTCTCTAAAACTGGTTTATTTTAAAAGTTAACCATAATAAAAGTAGAATAAAAAAAATTTAGACTAATGTGATATGTATTTAAATACTTATATCGGTTAGTAGTAAATGAGAAGGACACATTTACAATCTTATATTCGGTTGATTTGGATAGCTTTTGAAATATACATTCTGAACGGTTGCACCCTGAACACGATCTCTGATTATACAGAGTGTCCAGAAACTCATTGATCCCACTAATTGAATTCCCTTTCAAAATGGCGTGTTTGAATGAAAAAAAACTAAAATATCTTAATCTGGCTCAAAATTTTAAAAATCCGCAACAATTTTAGCTATAAACATTGACTTTAATGTTGTAACTTGGAATTATCAAACCGCTCATGAACCGTTGATTTTATAATATATTAAACTCACTTTTGAACCCACAACCTTAAACTCACAAGCTCTGACTGTTTGAAAATATAAATATGCACACAAATTTAAACAAATAAATAAATCATAATAATCAAAACGTTGAAGATTAGTGTATGAGTTAACGTTGTTAAATCTAGTCATTTCAAGTCCATTGCTAATATTTTGAAAACTTTAAGTAGATAGACGCAATCATTTGACAGTAATTTGACCGAACATTCTTTTGTTAAACGGTATATTTTCTTTGGTGCCAATTTGACTAACTTGTAAATCAGTAAAATAAAAAAATAAATTACATATATTAATGTACATTTTCCGAGATCACCGAATGACGAAAACTATTTTAAAGTAGCCTATCAACGATATCAAAGTTTTATTTCACATCCTCTTCAACATTCACCTCCCTAGTAAAAAGTAATTAATTAGTAGGCCTAATTACTCCGCCACACATGCATACAGAAAGTTACTACAAAGACAAAGTGAGCTAACACGTGGTTGTAATGAAGCATAAATAACATTAAAGTGAGCCTCGTGGCAATTTCACGACCGCAGGGATGTAATGAGCGCAGCGAGCAGACGATTTACAGAGTCATTCCTACGATGATAAGCAATACGCGTGTCTAGCCCTGATAACGCCACCCCAACATTAGCGAAACGCCACTTCGGCAGACAGCGCGAAATGCTCGCCGACGTCAAGGTAATCCTTCGCCTTTTCAACCCGAACCCGCCTCCCCCACACTGACGAGATTATTTGGGCTTAAAAGATGAAGAGTCATGGGCTCTTCCCTACCTCGGTCGTCTTAATGTTTACAAATGGGTTCGCAAATGTATATTCATCATGAAGAATCATCCGTGGACTGATTTCGTTCAAGTCTAATTGAACAAAGGCGATTGTGGAAAGTGAGAGTGAGTTAAACTGGTAAGAAGGGATTGAAAAAGAAATTTACCACGACAAACTACAGTAATATTTTAGGTTGATCATAGCTGATATTAGATCATTGCTAAATAGTTTGATTTTGTAATGGAAAAATATAATCAATACTCAATAGTAGGTAAGTTTAGAAGTATTCAGTGATTTTATTTGACTACAACGCTAAACATTAGAAGCTCTTAACTGGAATTCGGGAGAGATTATCTAAAGATTGTCAAAGGTACACAAAAGAGGACTTCTTCGAATTACTTCTTGGAACGAAACTTACTGATCAAAATTTCAACCACATTTTCTAACTCAAGACTCAATTGGAAAATAGACCTTCATTTAAGGGTTTTTAGTTGTTTCGGTTTATTGAAAGTATTATTACAGTTATTCGCTTACACCAAAGGGCTACGATCAGCAGCCGATAGATGTCTCGTGTTGTATACACATTGGTCATCTTGAAAAACAAGAATGTAGATAACGTTGCCTATATATTGAAATACATACAAGGTGCATTATTACTCTTTCATGAGAAACACAACCAACGAACTTCTATTTTGCTACAACAATTTGCAGAAATATTGGGATCGATGGCAATTTTGGCGTTAAACGCGTCGTCAGTTCTAGATTGTTGCCAGACGTTTTGCCGTGTCCTGTAGAGTCCTAATCAGTCCTCAGTGAAGAAGAAACTGAGCATGTATCTACTAAGTACTTCATTATAAAATTAAATTCATTCCAACCATAATACTTACAACATCTTTTTTAGGACGAACCACCTTACTGCAATCTAGAATTGACGAGGTTAACGCCGTAATCACTATGGATTCTTTTGCGGCTAAGAAAGCTCAGCCCTATGGCAAATACCAAAGAACGACCACCAAATCTAACATCCCTAATGAATTTCATTATTACTTCAAACTCGTGAAGGCATTTTGGTATCTATGTCAACTTTGATCACTACATACAAGATGAGTTCTTCCTACCTCAACTCCTGCAGCAAGGTGTCGCCCTGGCTGATGGTAGTGACGGAGGCGTCCAGACAAGAGTCTCTCTGTCTAGCACACTCCTCTAGCTGCCGCTCGGCCGCCTCCAGAGTGTCTGGCGCTTCATCGCAGCCGTCCTGGCGCAGCTCCTCTAGCCAATGGTCGAGCTGCAACAGTTAAGAAAGGAAAATGAGATGGTGTAAGGGTGAAACTAAAGACATGGGTTGAAAATAAAATGTAAGGTGAAACATAGTCTTTGGTAGATCAAACATTCAATGAGAATAATGCAGTTGTCCTGATGGAGCTCCTCTAGCCAATGGTCGAGCAGCAACAGTTGGGAGAGAAGCATATGATGATGTAAAGGTGAAACTTATGACATAGGTTGAAAAGAAAATCCAAGAGAGAACATAATCTATGGCAGATCAACGATTCAACCAGAAAAATATTAGTCTCTACCGGTTTCTCCACAAACATACATTAATTATGTACAAGAGAATTAGCTGAAATCTCCTACGAGGACAGGATAAAGTTTCGCATAACATCCACCAATTACCAGAGGAGTTGGCGAACTTAAGTTTAATAACCATAAAAGTTTAAACAGACGAGAATGAGCTTATCCTAAATGATCTATTAAGAGTGAGTATACCACCAAAATTCAGCAAGAATAAACAGCAACTCCTGGTAAGGAGTAAAAACTTTGAAGAGGGAGCCTGATCTCCTCTTCTCATAATATAGCTTGCAATGGATTACTCAAGCAAAGACCAAGTAAACAGTGTTAACCTCATTTTGCATACGCCTATACTCTATTTACTCCACCCATCTGTACGAAAACTAACAGTATACATTCACAGGCTGCGATTACTTTCACTTTCACTACAACTTGAATGGAAGATATGTTTACTTAATTAATGAATGTAAACTGATCCAGGCCGGAGAAACCAGTGACGATAGGGATGAAAGTGGTTTGGCCGCGAATTCTAGAGCAGCGTGGCCATAATAGTGTACATATGTTAATGAGGTGTTCCTAGCATGCTAATAGAACAACCGGTTAAACTAGGCGGTGGTAACGGGCCTAGCGGAAAACTGAGAGTGGATTGGATCTAGGTGCGGTAGTGAAAATGCGTGCCGGGTTATCGTTTTAGGCCTGGAATGGGTTTGAAAATAATTAGATGACATACTAACTAAAGTTGGGGGGGCGAGCTGGTGTAGTATAGCACGGGCTTCCGTCCTTGAGGTCTTGGGTTCAAATCCCACCAGTCGCCAAAGGATTTTAGCTGTTTTAAAATCGCAACCCACTAGGCCTATAGCAATGTGAAAAACTGTTCCGAGCCTAGTGTCCTTGGATATGAAAGTGGGACATGCAATAAAATAAATTAAATATCAAGTAACTGACACTGCAAACGTTTCTACATTATGCAATTTTCAAACAAAATACTTTGGTCACCAATTTGTACTTGACGAATTTCTAGAAACAATATGGGATACTCCAGGCTGAAAACAGGCTTCTTTAGTATCCACACGGGTGAGTACCCAGTTATAGTCTTAATATTTGCCTTAATATCTGAAGGTTGCTGATTCAATTCCTAGAGAAGTCGATTCTGTACTCGGATCCAATTTGTCCTTCTGCTATATTTTAATAATCTTATTCATTAATATGTTTACACAGTGACGAGAGCGTGTTTCGAACTATTTCTACTTAAAAAGGTGTTATTAATTTTAATGACATTGGCAAACATGAAACGGAAAAATAGGTTAACAAGGTTATCAATTCGATATCGGTTACAAATTGAGACAAACATCGTCTTCTACTGGCATAAATATGCAATATTAAACACACAAACGGGATCGCTACGAGCACCGAATCGATAGCTGTTGCTAAGCGACTGTAGCGATAGCGATGTTCAGTACGTATATCGGATACCGATACGGTGGTACGCCTAAGTTCTGCCAAGCAATTATTTTATATTAACATAAAAACACAGCAAGTTATAAATGTTTACCAAGCATATCAAACGTTTTAGTTAATGTATGCTTTGCGTGGAGTATAACTGCTTCACATAGAATACAGATCCAGGGGAAGATACAAAAATCTAGCCAACTTCTTTACTGACAGAAAAATACAATCGATACCGATATACACCAATCAAATTGAACGATTGGCTTTTATTCTGATCTCGAGTAGAACCACTTAAACCGTGGCTTGTTAGCTTAAACCGCTTCTTACTGGTGACTCTTAACGCTAATGCTGAGTGCTTTTCTTACGTGCCGCCCTACCATTTATTAACTATGAATAATTTATATAATACTGTAGTATAGCAAATTAAATTGTAAAAGTAGACTATGTGTGTTACCGTCAGAGTATTTAATCAAGTTTGGAAGGTCATCATATAGAATATCTGTTAGTACTACACACCTGGGGACATTCCACAGAATACCTAGGTATGATAAAAAAACTCCTAGTAAAGTGTGTAGAACCTAATTGTAGGAACCTATTATTATTACTCCATTTTATACTTTGCCAGAAACATTACCGCCTAAAACGAGTCAGGCAAAGTTGTATGCAGTATGAAGCATTATACTATTTAAGTAAATTCTTATTATTATTAGTATATTTAATACTTTGCCTCAAAGGTATAAAACCTTTCTGTCGTGCAAACTAAATTAGTTGATTCTTGATTACTACGGAATGAATTAAAACCATTTTAAATTCCGCCTTTTAATTTTTACCAATTTTTTACTAGATTACTAATTTGTTTATACCTAACTAAAACAACAATTGAAATAATCCAACTACTGTAATTATCTTATAACACTGGAAAGGACCGTATTAAATGTTTATTTACAAAACAAACAAATTCTAGTTACAAACATTGTGTGGTGAAAATTAAATTAGTGCAAAACAAGGAAACACTAAGGAAAACGTGTTTAAACCAAGAAAAACAAACAAGTATTATATGGGTCATAAGTGTGACCATAACAACAATGTCTACTAACGTAATTCGCAGTATGACGTAATACAATAAAATAAAATATCTGGTTTTACAATACCTTTATCAGTTCCAAAAGTAACTTTCGTCAACGTGTGTTATTTTTGGAACTGATAAAGGTATTGTAAAACCAGATATTTTATATATTACAGTTCCGGGGCTACAACAATGAATTACAATAAAATAACATATGTTTGCGTATGGGATGAAACAATTACTGTAACATTTACAATTTTTAATTCAAGTGTAGTGTTGAATGGTACATAATTGCATTTATTTTATTCATTACCGTTATTTTACGGTGGAACTTTGTGTTTAAAATAGCGATACATTCAAGTTCAATCCAAATCAATCACAAACAACATGTAATACAATATTAGTAACCTAAAAAGTTAAAAATATACAATTCCGAATTAACCTATATGTAAACCTTTAAATATTTTTTGTACGACAAAACTTGAACAAAATTCAGTCGTTCCAAAGCACTACTGATATTTCAACGATAACAGAACGTTGCTATAGTCACGAACACGAGGCACGTCTAGCTGCGAACCTCTTTGCATTTTGAACACACAACAATTATAATGCGCCCGCGGTCGCATACGTGGGTCATTCATAAACGGTCCCGTACTTTCCAAACGGCACGTACCGCCTTACCAACGTACCACTTACCAACGTCAAGTAGACCGGGGAACACATATGGAAATACCACATTACTTTGACAAACCCCCGTCGCAGCAAACCTACCTGGTTGGATTTTCACTAATATTTTCCCTATACATTGCTACATTTGTTTTCTATATAAAAACGTAATTTTAGGTTTTCTACAACAGGGAAGGTCATAAAGTGTGCTTTTATTTTAAAATAATAGTTTAGTATGAAATATAAAAATCTGATAAAAAATAAATACCCAGAAACAAGCAATACAACAGTTTAACTATAAAGAATAAATTTGAAATAATACAGTTTTTGGGAATTTATTCCGTAACTATTAGGCGTACAACAACGCTTAAATGTACGAAATTATTTTTTGGGGGGTTAAAAATAGGAAACCCCAATTTTACCTCATAGAATTCGGTCCCCATAGTCCGATCATGCTGGTTCGCGAACTCACTTAGAAAAACGTAGGGGATGAATTTTTTTAAGGTGTTATTAGCCACTGGGGACGTAAAAACGAAAAAAAAAAACGGCCCTGGGATATAGAATCTTACAATGACATGTACGGTCAAAGTTTTTCTTTGTATAGTAAATTCACTAAAAACAATGGTAATACAGTATTTAATTTCAAAACGGAATTTCAGGGCTTAACATGAATAATACGGAAACGTATTTCACAGAAATGCAATCTCGACGAGAATATTACAATAAGTTAACTGAATGGAAACGACGCTTTACAATGGTACATACACGAACAAAGATCAAGCACAGATTTGCTCAAAGTAATATCTTACTACACAGGCTTTGTAAGAGGTATTCGTATTACAAAATCCAAATGAGAAATTCTTACAGGATTTTCCAGGAACAGTATTATTTGGCAACATTTTGATATTCAATTAATGTTTCGATGGATTACTTAGCTTTCGATATAACAGGGGTTTATCTGTAGAGGAAAAGGGGGCTGCTGTAATAATTTTTGAGTTCACTAACCTTTGTAAGAAATGTCTAAATACACAATTACTACGAGGAATTCTGATAGAGAGTTCCACGATAAGTGTTAGTTTATACAATTTCTTGCCTTTGATGGGACAGAAGTTCATCAATAGATGAAGCCTGGTTTAAGGGTTAGAGCGCTAGACTTCTGTCTTGAAGAAACGGGTTCTAATCCGAACAATCACTGATAGCTTTTAAGTTTCGCAATAAGACCGTCACTGTTTCGAATCCCACCTAACTCCACAGATTACTTTAGCTTACTGGTAAACATAGTAAACCGTAGTCTAACTTATCTAGAAAACAAACAAGATATATCTCATGCAAATATGACATTTTGTTAACGGAGAACCACCTCAATTTTAATCATTTTAATAATATGGGGAAAGAAGGCCAGGTAATTACTACATTGCTGTGGTTTAGAGTGTGTGTATTTGTACTGTATTTAATTTATATATAGTTGAAGAGTATATTACACACAGTAAAATCTAAGGATAGACATACTAATTTTCTAGTTTTTTTTAAAGCCTGGA